CCCCCGTAATTTTAAGCTTAACTACTCCAATTCGGACGGCGTCCGCGCGCCTAATTAATGACGCACTTTCGTACAGTAAAATAAATAATTAAATGCCCTCTTCGCCTGATTCCAGGCCCTCTGGGTGGGTCCGCGGCGGCAAAACCGACCCGCTGCCCCGGGCCGGTGCGGGGGGTGTTGGGTCGGTACCGGCACCCCGCCACTGGGCCGGCTCCTCGTGGTGCTGCCCACGCCTTTCCTCCTGTAGCCATCGAGCTTCACCTTCCCAAATGACTACATGAGGAAGGATCTAGGGCGAGGCTGCTCGGCACGTTGCGGGATGCGCTGCGGGAGCGGCCGGGATGCGGCTCCGGCTCTGCCCGGGGAGCGGCCCAGGGTGGGATGTAGCTGCACACACGGCCGCGTTACACCAACCCCGCCGGCACGCGGTGCTTCCCCTGCCCCCACCAGCTCCCTTCCTAACTCCCCCGCAGGTGTGTCGAGTTCTGACAAACCTGTTTTGTTCAACACACACGAATCTTCCTTCCAGGATTATTTCCTGCAAGATTTGTACCTCATTTATTCCCATACACAGACTGTTTTCTATATATATCTATATCTATCTCCTGCCTCTCATTTATTCCTGCCTGCTTCTTGCCCGCCCCCAGCCTCCTTTTGTCTCCCTCGTTCCTGCTGGATCCAAGGCACAGCCTCTCTCCTTGAAAGGAAAATTAATGAGTTATCATGTCTGCTGCCACTGGAGCTGCTCTTGCCGTGTGGCAGTGGCAGATATAAATGCAGGCAGTGAGATGCAGTCATTTTGGATGGCTTTGAGGGGAAGAAAACCACCCCAGTTTCTCCTTCCCTCCCTGGCCTGCAGTGCTCAGCTTCCCAAGCCCCCCTGGCACAGCCCCTGGACCCCCAGCAGGAACTCAACAGCCTCAGGTCTGTGCAGGAGAGGTTTTCTGGAAAGGTTTTTTACCAAAAAGGGTCACTTTTCTCTCCTGTTGACCCAGAAAAGTACCTTCTCAGTGGCAAAGAGGGTTTGACTAAGGATTACAGATTGCTTATTTTATCAAATATTCCTACCTGGCACAAAGAAACTCAGCTGAAAGGACCCCCAGGACCAGCCAGCCCGACCCCCCGCCCATCCACTATCTTAAAGCCTTTTTACTCCTCTGAGGAGACCCCTGGAAATCATCCCTCATGTTCCCCAAACCCTGCACACACACTAAATCAACACTCCCTTAGCAGGGACAGACACACAGGGGTGTAACTGAGGTGAGGGAGGATCATCCACCCTTCAACATTTTCAGAAAAGCACCAAACCCCCTGATTCTCAGAGGGCAAACCCAACGGGGGCTTTGGCAGGCGCCAGTTTGGGTCCTTCAGAACAAACCTCACTGAGCAAAGGCAACATTGTCTGGTGATTTTTATTGATTTCTTAGTAAGAGACATCAGTGTCCCCAGAGCCCCACGACACTCTGGAGGGCTGAGCACACACAGCTGACCCCTGCCTAGCAGGTTTGAGCCAATTGACAAACACTGCCTTTACAAAATGACAGCAAAAGTCTTAAAACTTACCCTAAATTAGCTAAAAAAAGAGCAAAGAACTCACAATATTTCAGTTAAACATCCATTTTTAAATAGGTATACACATAAATAAAAGGCTTAGTCTTCAAATAAATATGCTGCAGGACATCTAAACCTGCAGGATTCCTAGGAAAGGATTCCTGTCAGAAGCTTACAAGGCTCTTCCAGGGGTGGTGTAACTTCTCTCTGCCTGAACACACACAACCTAGGCTGGAGACAGTATCTTCCAAAAATATTCCTTAAAATCTCAACTGAACATTTTTAAAGGAGTAATTTCATATAGAATTTCATATAGAAATTCTTCTGAGAAAGAGAGCTTAACATACTTCTTTTATTGATGGTGTTAGATAATTAACACACACAGGCCCTATTTAAAATAATTTAACCTCCAAAGCTGGTCTCTGAGGAAGGCTTTTAAGGACTCCCATAATATCTCTCACAATTTGTTATGCAGAGGATATATTTTAGCTATCTAGTATTACCAGAATAAGCAACTACTCATCATATAAACATGCATTTAAATAATAAACATGCTAGTGAACACCTTAGTGACTAATACTGAAGTAACACACCTGAACTTGGCAGTGGTCTGAAGGAAAGAGAGCTCTGCTCAGCTGCCACTTTTTTTTACCCCCAGGAAATACATTTCCTGGAAAATTTTAAATAAGATTGATTTCTTTTTTTAGCTGATCCACATGATTTCAGTAAGTGCTGAACATGAGGCCCGGGGTGGCTGTGATGTCTGTGAAGGGAGCACTCTGATGAAGCTCAATAACCAACTGCTTCTTCAGGACCAGAAGGGTGTAAAACTTGGCTGCTGCTTCATTCCGGCTGCTTTTCCAGCAGAGCTCCTGGAAGCTGAAGGAATTCATGCCTGAGCTCTTCAGGTGCTGCATAAGGGAGACAGGAAAATCAGTCAGGTTGGCATCACTGCCAGTGAAACCAGGTCCCACCGACTGGACAGTGCTGCTTGGAGTGAAAGTTCTTGAACACTTTGAGCCAGGGCCTTGTCTTGGCATCTGTACAGAAGTGGCTCCTAATGTTTCCTTGCCATGGCACTGCTTGTTCCTACAGGTGCCCCCAACACATACACGTGCCCACAGCTCCAGGGGGTTCAATGCAGCTGTGAAACAGGCATGTGACAAAGCACATCCCTAATGGCTCTCCTGATTTAAGAAGAATAAAAACCATCATGGAGCCTGTTCTTTGGATACCAAGTCCCAGCTCTGTCACAGGCTGTGTCAGTCCCAGCTGGCCCAGTGTCACCACTGCTTGGTTTTTAATGGCTGCACTTCTGGGTCAGCATTTCCTTGTGGGTGTTGCACAGAACCTTTGAAACATGCTCCCAGAAAATGATTTTTTAAAAAATACCAAGCAGGCTGTGATGAAGAGCAAGGGCTTAGCATTTCAGCAAAGAGAAAATTCTAGTGATTCCAGCAGCTGTGGGAGAGGACACCATGTCAGGCTCTCAGAATCCTGTTTTCCTACACAAACACCCAGTTTTAATAAGAAGAACATTTTTAAATTATCTTAGTTACCATTCTATATTTTGCTAATAATCATGTTATTACATAAACAATACAAATACATACTTAAATACAGAAATATAGCAATGTTTTATATTATATCAAATATTATATAAACTATACATTTATATAAAATATAAAATGTAAATAAATGTGTTTTATAATTTCATATATAAAATACATTTTTAGACATTTAAAATTATACATTAGTATATAATATATAAATTGTACAAAATATATATGTTATAAATATAGATTTATTTATATATACTTATAGCATACACATAAATATATAGATAACTAAATTAATATATTACTAATCTTTAATAATTGTGAAACAGCTACACACTGCATGTGAGAGGCAGCAACACAAGCAACAGTCTAAGCAGGAGATTTTCCCATGTGGTCCAACTGAAATCAACCCCTGGCTTTGGCACCTGGATACAAAACCCAGCTCTGGTACCTGTAAAGTTCTTAAGAACTGAAGAGTTCTTTTGCTTCTTGTTTCTTCACAGTCTTTCCCATTCCTTGTTAGCTCCTCGAGAGAAACCAGAACAGAAGGTTAGACACCATGGGTAAAACCTAACACATCATGATGAGAAAACAGACAAGAGTTCTAGGCTAACTGAAAATCCAGCTGGAGCTGGGCACTTTGAAGGCCACCCTTGGTATATCAGGAACCTGTGACACCTCCATGGTCATAGGTCTATGGAGGCTTTGTGAAGCAGAGGAAAGAAATGTAACTTTGTGTTCTTTCTGCTACAAAGGGACAGATCAGGTGCACGAAGGTGTGGCGTACAATGGAAGTGGCCCCAGTGAGCCTTGGGAGGCAGCTTCACAAACTGTTCTGCACAACTGGGATTCTGACAGTGTTTGTACTTGTCAGGGACCAAAAAGGATGGTCAAAAATTTGGCTTTTAATTTGGGGCTTTATCTCTGAAATCAACAAGAGAATACTGCCCTTGTATCAGAGTGTTGGAGTATTTCCATGGCCAGTTAAGTTGAGAAACTTCCCTTCTGACAGGAAGCACAGGCTGGAAGGAGCTGTCTCCCTCACAGGCTGTTAAGCACTGGAATAAACATATCCCTGATTACCAAGATACAAAGTTCTTGACTGGCAAAAGAGCCTTTATCATTTCTGAGAAAGAATCTCTGGACTAAGCTGGAGGTGTCAGCTTTGGGTACCTGTTCCTTGGCTGACTCTGCTGGCTGGGGTTCACCTGCTGGGCCCAGGGAGTGGGTGGCCAGGGAGGAGCTCTCTGAGAAAGCTGCTCCTTCCTGTTGGAGCAGGAAAGGGGATTAACAGGTATCATGGTTCATGCACCCAATGCACTTCTCAGTTACCTAAGTCTGCTCAAAGAATTCTTGCCATCAACATTTCCCAAATTGATTTCTTAACTGCTATTTCTACCACGCCTCTCCTCAGGGAGGAAGGACCTTGCCATGGTATTTATCCTACAGCTGGATCCACACCAAGGGGCACAGACACAGAACCTACATTTTCTGCTGCTGTTACATACAATTTTGTAATTCTTTTTCAACTTTAATAAGCCTCATGTTCTCCAAAGAACCCCCTTGGATGTTACTCTAAATAAACATGGCAGAAATAGATAAATTGTTATTTCTTGAGTATCTCCTCAATTTGAGACACAAAAGATAAAAGTCATCTTTATAAAGGATAAAAATTATCTCTTCAGTACAAAAAGGCCATCTTTCATATTAGTGTTCCCTTTATACTTAGTGATTAGAATGTAATCTATACTGATTAATAGACATTTTAATTAATAGTTGAATGCATGGCAAGAATCTTCCCAAGTGCCTCTAAATAAACTTCCATGACACAAGCTGCTCAACTCTAGCATCCTCAAACATATATTTGTCATTTTAAAAATTGTTTCATATGGAAGCCTAGCACAGAATGAAACAAAAAAACAATTAAGTCTCTAAAACTATGGAAACTGCTCACTAGAGTTGCACCACAGTTGTCATCAGCTTCATTTCTTTTATTCTGTGATGTCAACATAAACGAATCATTTCTATCTTTAATCTCAGTCTCAGAATGAGCTGCCTCCTGCAGGGAACTTGGCTCTTCTATCAGCATCTCTGTGTTAATAAGACAAACAAGGTTTAAGAGGAAATTGCTTGTGAATTGCTGCCCTTAAAAAAAACACTGAAAGAGAAAAATCACACTCTAGCAATCCTTGAGACTATGAGCCAGTGAGTAAACATTGAAAAAATATAATTTCCAGTAGGACCACTGGAGAAGAAGAACCTTCCAAGAGAGTTTTTCCTTTCCTAAAAGTTGACCTTTAAGGACTTGCAGGAGGTGGTTTTGTTGATTAACCTCTGGGGCAGCCATTGGGATTGTACTTCTAGCAGAGCAAAGGAGTGAAAGCAGATCCAGCACCTTCTCAGGAGATCTATAATGGAACATTTCTTCTGCTTTGATAATAACCAAAACACAGTCTTCAAGATACACATAGAAGTTATTCATATGAATTTGGAAATCTGGAGAGTGGTTTGACTGAACTCCGAATAAGTGGGAAGATTTTTTTTATTAGAAAATAAATAAATAAATCTGGAGTTTTGTAGACATATAGAGAAACCAAAGATGAAACCAAAAATCCCTCCTTGTGGCACACCACAGGGAAGAACAGGACTTGCATTTCATTTCTGATTTAAGGAACAAAAGAACAGCAAAGTACTTGTAAGCGTAAAAAACTTTTTTAAAAAATCAGCAGCCAATTTCCTTAACATTTAACTTCACTGGCCTATAATTTGTACAACACTGCACACAAACACCATGCACATGTCTCTCAAACCTTATGTAAAGATGAAAGTATCTTCTAATAGGTAGTTCTGCTAGAACAGAATTAAAGTATTACCTGTGGTATCTTGCTCGTTTCTTGTTTCTTCAATTTCAGGCTCCTCCTCCATCCCATTCCTTCCCAGCCCCAATCCGTTACTCTTGAAGCATTTTGCAAACAACTGAAAACAATTATTTTTGTTTGCTTTCAGAATATAATGCCAGGTTATTTGCAAACATCAACACAGAGGAATGAACATGACAAATATTAATTACAGCAACCTGGAATTTACAGATTTGAATTAGGTGGTTCCAAAAACCTGCAATTTTAATATTTTTTTTAAGTAATTTCTTTTTGCAGCTTCAACTTTGGCAGGGAACTCCATGAAGAAACATCTTAGGAGCAGCTTAGATTTTTTCCTTGAAGTAATGAAAGGATGGGATGAAGTGTAAGGAGTAAGGAGGGATGAAAGAAAGGAACATCTGGAGTTATCTGTGAGAATTTCTCTCCCCATGAACTGCTGTGTCAGTATTTTTCATCCCCATGAAGAGCAAGTTGCAGTTCTCCACCTTGGCTCTGAGTGGTGAAGCTGAGCTGCTGCAGAGAAGCAGCCCAGCTGGCTCCTGCAGCCCTGCCTCCCGGCTCCCTGAGCCACACACACCATGGAGCATCTTTCCTTATCACCTTGTACACACCTTGATCTCCTTATCTCATCACCAGCTCTGAACTTACAGCTCCTTGATCTATCTGGTACCATGTGGAGACATGGGAGGCTTTGGCAGATCCTGTTTCTAGGAAGCAATACATCTTTCCTGGGCAAAAAGAGCAGCAAGGTTCACAGCTGCAGGAGCCCACCCTGAACCAGCCAAAGTGACAGAGTGACAAGGAACCTCCTGGTCCTCTAAAGGCAAATTCCTGCCTGCTCTCCAGCTGGAAGCTTCAGCTCCAGTTGGGGAAGTACAAAAGAAATTGGCATTCCATCTTTCCAAAGCCATTAACAATATCATAAGACTGTTTCAGCTTTATGTGCCTTTAAAGTAAATACAGAAGAAAGATGTGGCCTCATAGTGATGACAGTGCAGAAACACACCAGAAAATAATAAAACAAGGTTGAAAATAGGGAAGAAATAGACAGAATTTTTTAAAAAGTGTATTAGTGTACAATCAGAGAGGTGCCAGTATGTGATGGAACATCAACTCTCAGGTTTCTTTGTCTTTTTTTTACTTGTAGTTGGAGATTAAAGCCATAAGCTCTACAGTTGGTGTTTCTGATAAAGCAGTGAATGGTGAGTATGCAGATAATCCCCAGGTCTCCAGCTGATCCCCAGGTCACCAACCAAACTGTACTTCAGAGAAGCACTGTCAGTGATGCTGAGCACCCCCAGCTTGCCAGAAGTTCACATAAAACCAGGTCTGCAAGATCTCTCACAGTTGGGTCCTGGATATGCAGCCCTCCCACACTCTCTATAGTGGCACATGAACCAACAAGGAATGGATCTTTACCATTTGCAGCTTGGCATGAACCACAGGCTGCGCCGCGTGGGCCAGAAGTTTATCCACACCTCCTGACTTCTTCCACATCATGGTTTTTTTTGTTGGGGGTGCTAGGTCCAATGTAGCAAGGATGTCTGTGCAGTTGTTCAGTTGGTTGTATATAGCTTTGCAGCTAAGTTCCTTCTCTACATCCACAAGCAACTTCCTCTTTCTTTTATTTTTTTTCCTCTGGGTGACACCTAAATAGAGCAATTATTAAATAAACAAACAAACAAACAAACAATAAGGTCTATTCACAGAACACTTGGGCACCAAAAAGCAGTGTGAATCAAAGAGGCAGGCTGCTGACCTCCTGAAACCCTGCCCAGGCTTGAAATTCAAAGTTCAAGTGCATGGGCCATTCTTCAAAAGTTTTTATAAAGTCTACTCATAGTATTCTTGCACAGGCAACTCAGGTATGTTTGATCACAGAAGACATATGACTATTGTACTAAAGAACCAGGAACTTGAGGGCTTAATGAGAAAACATGATACATCAACAAGACTGAAGCTATCTTTAATCCATCAGGAAGTTAATTGTTCCAAGAACTGCTGATGTACTCAACAGGTTTCATTACCTAATAATTAATCTCTGTCAGTTTAATTCTTTAGCAATTTAATTAAGAGGTACATAGTAAACACAAAAGAGAGGCATGGATTGGTTATATTGCCATAACTTCCTGAATATTATTTTGGCAGGCTGGAAAATTCCAGTATTCTAAATAACAGTGTCAAAGTGAACTTATTTGCTAACAGCCACCAACATGATAGGTGACATTTAGATTTACCCACAGAAGAAATGAAACATTTTTTTTGGGGGGTCTTATTCAAGTTAAAGTTAACAAACCAAAATTTTACCAAGGCCTGAACGTTTTAAGATTGTGAGTTTACACATAAAAATAAGTGATGTGTCACCAGCAATAAAAGTTCTTAGTCTGAAATGTCAGTAACACTCATGAACAGGCCAGGCTTGTGCTGTTGGAACTGGAGAGCAAAAGAATCTTGATTTGGTACATGGAGGAAACTGTGAGCAGGGATTTGGGCAGATCAGATAAATAACTCAATACTAGTTTTGTATTTTTGTTACCAGAAAATAGAACCCTTGACAGCAGGAGCAGATAAAACCTGAAGTGAGAATAATCTGCTCTGCAAATATTTTCACTAACAAGAAGAAAAACAAACCTAGTTAACACAAACATTCAGCAAGAAACTGATCAAGGTCTGACCTGTATCATCAACAGGCTCAAGCACAAATCCTTCTTCTTCCCTCAGGAACAGCACTGTCTTGTTTGTTGGATGACTGACTTCCTTAATGTTGGTGTCTGCACAATTGGACTCAACTGTAAGAAAACCCAGCAAATAACCCAAATTAAAAAAAAAAAAAAAGTTTACAAGATGGAATAATGCCTCAATCTCAGGACATGGAGATCACACAAAAAATATCAGAATTAGAACACTCTTCTGTCTGTATCTCACAGTAACTTTAACCAGCAGTAACTCACGTCCTGCACACTTCCCTCTGCTGACACCAGAACCTTTCTGGGCAGGTGGTAGGATGGACTGAAGAGTTGATCTGGAAAAAAACCCACCTGACAAAAAGTGTTTAGTGGGGAAAGTCTTTAGTTTCAGTACATGTGTTTCCACTACCAGGGAACTGCATGGCACTGTGGACATCTCTGTCAATGCAGAAGTATCAGGACTAGTTTCAGGAGGGGCATCTGCTGCTGTTTTCCCCTTGAAACTGATCCTGATTACTCAGCTGGAAAGTAACAGAGTGAAGGGGGTATAAGGGTTTAAGGTATTGAAAAAAAATAATCCAGAAACACTTTTCAAGATAATTTCATCGGTATCAAACCTAAAGAAGACTAACAACACCTTTAGGAATTACTAACGTGTCATTTGTCACTGAAATGCTGTTGGTGATGTTCACAGTCAATGCATGCTCTTAGTTTCCCTTCCTTTACAAAAGTGGTCTCAGACTGTGGGAGCAGTGGGGTGGATCAACAGCACATCCAAGGGGATGTCATAGGCAAGTGTTCCTAAGCAATGTCAAGTTACAAATCTGGAGTCCTTAAGTCAAATGATATTATACATAAAATGGTGGATGAAGAGTACTGGGAAAAAACAACAGACACATGAGCAAAGGTAAAAGCTATGGGATAGCCTACAAAGCTGACTGTGAGTAACTTGAGGTGTCAGTGCAGACCCAGAGGGTCTGTGTCAGGCTGGAGCAGCAGAGTGGACTCACTGGCTGTGCTCTTCTCTGGCAGGTCCTGTGGCAAATGATGTTGTTCCTCCAGGTCAAGAATGTCTCTCTCCAGGCCATTTGGCTCATCCCTCAACAGGATTTCTTAAATACAAAATGCATCATTTTAATCGCCCTAAGGCTGAGTAGCCATGAAATAGCCTGATGCAGCCCAGGGTGACTTATTTAAGATTAATTCTGTGCAAACAAACAAGCTCAGCTCCTGCAGATGGCTGCCAGTGACACGCCCGACCTCAACAATGCAAAAAGGAGAACCCTAGTCTTAATTTTGAGATTTCCATCTTACCTTTGAAAAGCATGATATTTTGTTTTGTTTAAAAGGTATAAATCTCTAAGTACTCTAAAGCATAGAGATGTAGAAGCTACTTTGTTGCTTTTGTTGTTACAACAATGAAGATTAAAAGGCTGCAGTAGGTTGCCTTTCGAATTATAAATTAAATTGTTAAACATTAAGTATACATTGAATGCCTTAAGTTCTAACAAAAAATTGAATTATCTTCTTTAATACAAATTTACTTGGCAACATCTAAGTGATCATAGATTTAGTGACAAGTAGGAAGTAGAAGGAAGTATGAAAACAACAAAACATCTGGAATTTATGTTTGAAAACAATCGCTTTCACGCTGTCCTGTTTGTTTGCCTGTGAAAATACAAATATTTTGAAAGAAACTAATCCTGTTTGTCTGTGGCAAACCCTACCAATCATATCTGCAGCATCCTCCTCATCTCCAAAACAGTCGTGCTCAAAACTCAGGGTGTCCTCAGGCAGTGCAGACTTGTCCCCATTCATACTCCCAGAGTTGTGATCACCCCCAAGGCTGTTGCTGCTTGTGAAGATGCTGGTGTCGAAGCAGCTCAGTTTTCTCTCTGCTTCTGGTTTTTCACCTGAACAAACACAGAATTTCTTATGGTTCATCTGCATGAATTTTTTGAAACGCGTATTTCCTAGTTTTTCAAATAATGTTTAAATTACTCTAAGATATACCACAGCTCAGATGGAATAAACAAGAAACAATTTTAGCTAAATCAGTACAAAAGCAGAAACTGTTGGGTTTGGTTCTCAGTCTCTGATATCATATTACTTAAGCAAAGTACATACATGAAAATTTAAACACAAGACAGAATGACAGGCCAATCAACACAAGTATGAAGGAAATGCACTTTTAGTAATAGCTTGTTCACATGAGGAAAGGGCTCTGACTGTACAAAATGTTGCAGAAAACACACCATTCCTTATAGAAAATTTCTAATCTCTCAACTTCTCTCACCAAAGTTTCTATCACAGAGAAGTATATTGCTTTCATAATCCTCTGCTAGTGTGATGTCTTCAGCTCTGCTCTGATTCAAGGCAAAATGCTCAGCAACATCAATGGCACTGATGGAAAAAAACATTATACAATATATAGGGTGAACTGAATCCCATTGACCGTTTAGCTGGAATTGTAAAACATGTTTCTAAACAGTCTTTAATCCTGATGTTTTATCATAACATCCCAAAATGTTATGCTTCTGTCCTCTGTGGCACTGAAAGTACCCTGGCCAATCCTCACTTCTGTGAAGAGAGAACAACTGTTTCCCAAAGCTGTTCACACTCAGGACATTTAAGTTTTTATTGATAAAATTTCCTGCTTTTAATTTCCTCTAAAAGCTAAAAATAAGCATATGGAAAACAGGTGCTATACATCCTTTTAAACTTACACCTCCAAGCAAGGAGGCAGCTGCAAAGCTCCTGCACAGTCTCCTGTGTCCTCAGACAACTTGAAATGAGAAAATCCTGAACTCCACGTTCAATACATGATCTCATTGAAAAGGTCTGTTGATGAAACAGACTTGGAGGAACTCCACAAAAGCAGTTCCTGTGACTGTAGCCCTGCAAAGCTGACTCGGGATTTAGGAGAATTCAGTTATCAAACAAAACAATTCCCCCCTAGTCTTGGTCAGATAACAGCAAAGATGTTTTTTGCTTCAACAAATACTAAAATACTAGGCAAGTATTTACTTTAAATCAGGTAACGTTGTTTCAAAATCATGAAATTCTTCAGGCAATGTGATGGACTGATAAGCAGCTTCAGAGACTTCTTGTGGAAGGTCAACAAGTCCTAAAAGAAACAGACAGCATAACAAAGTAAGCAGCAATACAAGAAAAGTGATGTTCTCATAAGTAGATATAAGGCCATAAACTTCTCAGGAAGGTCTGCTGCAATCCTAAATAACAAAAAGGTGAAGCTCTGTTACTTTGTCAACAGGATTCCAAATTGGAATTTAAATCCTTAACTTACATGTAGTTGAACAGCCATATTTTTACAGACACATACAGGAGAGTCTGCTGCTGCAGGACCTGAAATGCTGTATATACATGGGGTTTATGAGCAGCTACTTTAAGTGCCTGAAAGGTTTTTATAGCTGATATCTAGCCTGGAGCCTCTCACTCCTCTCCAAATGAATTACTGCCTTTTCCTTTCCTCTGCAGTGTCTGTATCACGCTATTTGCCAGCATCAAATAATTATGAAGTGAGACTGCAACTACTTGGTAATCAGAGAATCCTGGAATGACTGGGGTGAGAAGGGATTTCTGAAGATCATCTAGTCCAACCTTTTGCTCCAAACAGGATTAATTTGTAAGCCAGATCACTTCTGTTTCTGCTGATGGAGATTCCACAGCATCCCTGGACAGGCTGTTTCTGCAGTTCAGAAAATTTTTTCCTCCCTTTCTATCTAGTTGGAGTCTCCCTTGCTGCAGTTGTGACCATTGCCTCTTGTTCTTGTGCAGTCCTCTCTAAGCTACTGTAGTATCTATTAAAAGTAGATAGTGCACTGTACTTATCTGAAGTGTTTCTTCTAGAGATTTCCAAATGTTTACAAATAGGAACTAACTAATTACAATCACATCCTTGAGATTATGGTAAAGTACGTACTCACTACTCTGCAAACAGACCAAGTTACAAAGCACATTAAGGCTGACAAGAGGTGCTGGTGTCCCATTCTTAGCCTTTTTTTAGACAACAGTGCCTCCCCGTTTGGTGCAGAAGTACAACAAATGTGCAGCCCCTTGGAAAGGATTCTGTCATCTCTCCCCCCTTCTCACTGGCTACATGGCTACAGCTCAACACAAACTGTCAGATCTGGCACCAACACAATGCTAGACATGTTGTTGGTGTCATCAGAGATTAAAATTAATTATCTAGCAATGGAGGCTGAATTCAAGCTTCTTCTCATGCCACCACTTAAGATACTGCTTCTTTGGAAGGAGTCAAAGGCCTGAAATGGCATTAAATTAAGCCAGACTAAACATAGGCACCAATAAGTTCCATTTCCTTTAGGATCAATAATGTGTATTTATACCCAAAATTTCCTTTTACAATGAGAAGTGTGGAGGACAGGGATGGAAAAACGCAGAGTTCTGTACATACCCGGGCGAAAAGCTGTCTTCATTTTTGTCAGAGCTTCAGTACAGTCTGCCAAGAGGTACTTTGCTTTCCTGTGGTAAATCCTCACTACTCCAAGGAGTAAGTGCCCAGAGGTTCGCAGAGCTATTGTAAACTTTGAGGATTTAAAAGTTGATCAGGAGTTAGTTGGCAAAAAAACATAAAAATTAAAATATTACAGTAACAGAGTTCTAAAATACACCAGTACAGAGCTCTACAAAATGCAGCAGGGCTTTGTACTGATGTAGAGCAGTGTGAACAGAAATTCCCAGAGCCATGAACTTCCATGTTGCTTCTGTTCCTAAACATTGCCATGCTGAAGGACAAGTCCTGACCTGATGCTCTTACTGTATCTAAAACATCTCAGCTGCCTGCCAACAGTGTGAGACATCCTGGAAGAGAAGGTAGCTGCACATATCCTAGCCTTTGACAGTTCAGGTATTTAAGTAAGCAGGCACTATAGCAGCTACCCTTATTTATGCAAATAAAGGCCATAACTGTGCCCTTATCTACGCAAATTCTTCCTGCACCAAGCAACCTCAGGGTGGTCTTGCTGATGCTAAACAGGACAGCATGCAAAGGAAAAGTAGAGAGTACTTCATTAGCACCTCTTGGAAAACACTTCCAAATAATATCAAGATAACTTTACCAACATTATTAATCATAACCCCTGCAAGACAGACAGTGAAATTCAGACTATCAAATATCAAGCAGGTATTTTAATGGAGAAAATAAAACCCCCTGCTTGCACCAGCTGGAAGCCTTGGATTTCCTGCACCATTGATTAGTGACAGTGCAAAGTGTTCTTCACTGTTCCCTCGGATGCAGTTGCAAAGGGGAGGCCAAGGACTGAGTCATGGGCACTCGACTGCCTGCATCTGTGCTTGCTTGAGTCACACCTTCCCTGATACACAGGGGACCTCAGCCTCTCACGCAGAGTCTCTCCTAAGAACTGCATATGCTTAATTATATATTTAACAGCTTATGATGGGAGACCTGGAAGAAGTTCACTTACAGGGGAGGGATGGCTGCAGTATGGCAAAAGTTATTTATTACAAGATCAGCAAAAGCTGTGCATAAATGTATGCCACAGATCTCCAGGAGTAAAACAGTCAGTAAAATATTTATAGTACTGTCATGTAACAGGATGGAGGTTTTACCCGAGTGAGAACTGAATAAAATCAGAGCAGGAGTTTACACCACATTGGTTTGGAAACAGCCACAGATTTGTCCTCAGCCTCAACAACAGCAACAGCCCCACTGCCTATAGAAGATCCACACCTCTACCTCAGAACTGAGCAGGAGGCATTTAACCCTGTACCTTTGCAGACATGATCCTTTCAACGGTGGTCTCTAAATTGCACTCGAAGATATGAGCTTTGGTGAGCTTCTTCTCCCAGTGGGCAGCGAGCCAGATCTTGGCCAGGGGCCCGCGCTTGTTGACCAGCAGATGCACGTAGAACATGGAGCCCGGGCCCAGGCTGCCCCCTCCCCGGGGCTTCCTTGGTCCTCGGGCATGGAGCGGGGATTTAGAGGGGCTTGAGGGGATGGAAGGTCCCAGCTGGGTGCTGAGGGGATGGGAGGGTTTAGTGGGACCCCGAGGGTGCTGAGAGGATAAGATTTAGTGGGACCCTGAGGGGATCTGGGGCCCAGGTCAGGACCTGAGGGGATGAGAGGATTTAGACCCTCAGAGGACAGGGTGGGGGGATTTAGCGGGGCCTGAGGGAATGGTGGGTCCGGGCTGGCCCTGGGGGTGCAGGAGGGATTTAACAGCAGCTGAGGGGCTGGGGTGGCACAACAGGGAGATCTAATGGCACCTGAGGGGATGGGGAGCCAGGCTGGTGCTGAGGCAACGCAGGAAGAGGAGGGG